CCCCAAAACCCCAAAACCCCAAAACCCCGAAAGATAAAAATACTATGCTGATAATGTTATTGAATTTAAAATAATCATCATTTAATTAGTTTAATTATATCAGGTATTTTCAGAAGGAGGGTCATTATTGCTAATATTGTTGCATTCCAGCAGCATACTAATGCTGATGATGCTCTTAGCCTTGCATCATCATGAAGTTGAAAGGCATAGGATTCCCTTGAGTCATCGGCCACCCATGAGTTAGAGCATCTTACGACTGTCCTCCTCTGCTCTAAGTAGAGGGCTGTGTTTATTGCTGAGACAACTGCTGATCACCAGCTTGCAGAGTATTCTAGTTTTGGGTAGTCAGTGCTTGTGGGTACTCAATGCTTATAAAGCCATTCCGGAGTAGATCGTTTATGATTGCATAGCTTTGATCTCTTTAGCCTGTTTGTATCAGAGAGCTTGCATTCAAGATCTTCATCTTTACTTCATCCAAGTTTTGATTCAAGATTATCTAGACTTGACTTTGCTGTTTCTGAGGAGCGATTCCAGATAGTGCCCCCATATCCCCCATCATATTCTGCTGAAACATGTCATTTTAGCCAGGCATAACGAAGTTTGGAGGTATTCCAGGAGTCAGAGGCAAGTTATCATAGGGGTTTCTAAGTTCATGGGCTCCATGAGCGTAGGAGCAGTTCTTGCCAAACTTGCAATTGCCGCCACTCTGCTCATAGTACTTGCACGTCTGAGTCTTGTAGTTATTGTAGGGGATGTTCATCATCTTCATTGTCTGCTCAATCGGTAATGGCTATTAAAAGTGAATAAGACTTCGATTAACAGTAAATAATATATTGATTGAGCAATTGACTTACCTCTTCTGGCTTTCTAAGTTCGTGTTCGCCATGAGCAAAATGACACTTAGCTCCAACATGACAATATTTGTTTTGCATAAAATGCTTGCAGATCTGAGTCTTGTATAAATTGTTGAAGGGGTTAATTGGAGGAGGTCCCATAAAAGGCATAGACGTGGGCTGCATCATCGACTGAGACATCCCCATCATTTGACTCTGGTCCATCATAGCCTAATTCATCTATATTAATTATGAATGAGTAAAAGCCAATAAATGAGAGCAGGTGGAAAATGCTATTAGAATAGTAGAAATATTTACAACTATTTTTACCATTACTTACATCCATTTTATAAAAATTTATATTCTATTATTACAATTCTCTATAATTTATTACTTTTGTTTTAGCGGGGTTTTGGGGTTTTGGGGTTTTGGGGTTTTGGGGTTTTGGGGTTTTGG